GGCATGTACCTTGGTTGTGGGCACATCCCCAGTAGGGGGTGTGCAGGAGGCAGCTGATCGTTGTCTCTCTCTCATCGATGTTTCTCTCTATTCTTCTCTCTTCCTCTCTATAAGAAATCAATAAAATATATTTTTAAAAAATGGTTGCCTGGGAAAGCCCACCTTTTCCTAGAAAATGACAAGCAAGCAAACAAAACAACCATAAGACGCCAACACTCCTGCTACGCAGGAACACTTGTCACCTGCTAGCAGTTTAGGGGCCTAGGGTGGGAAGCTCAGCCAATCACTCTGCTGCGGTGGGGGTGTGAGCTCTATGTACAGATGGAGAGACACAGCAAATGAGCCCAGAGGTATTTTCTGCCCCATCACATGGCCCCCAAATTTGCTATGTGTGCCCCTCAGGCTTCACACATTGTTTTGGGGTCAGACACAATGATTTTCATTTTAATGGGTTCTATATTCATCCCAGTCTGTGTTAGAAAAAAGATTAAAGATGTGGCCAGGTCATGGAATCTGAGGTGAATTGAAGCTGCTCAGAGCACTGTGTGGTCTTACCTACAGGTGGATGCCACCACGAAGAACCATCTCCCTGCACAACTGACATTTCTCTTTATGCCCGGGTCTTCCCCAAGTCCAGGGCGGGACTTCACTTCAGTAAGCTTTGTGTCCACCAATGTCTGCTGGATCCAGAACCTGATTGGACCAGAGAGATCAATAAAAGCTTGCAGAACATCTTATTGACCTTCAAGAATGTATCATTTCTCAAAAGGGAAATTGAGGCCCTTTGTACCCTCGTGGTTATTCCTGGTGCCTAAGTGGGAGTGACACTAAAGCAAAAGAGACATTGGAAAGTGTCCGTTTTCCAGACTCTGGGAAGGCCTCATTCATCGTCTTTGCTGTTTTAGTTTACATGATGTCTTTTGTGGACATTGACATATTGTCACCCAAGGCTTTGTGTCTTTTGGAGAAACTTGGCATAGTATCTTTTTCTTTTTCTTTTTTTTTTTTTTTTAAAGTGTTTTAAAGAGAAAGAGTAAGGGAGAAAGCGAGAAACATCAATTTGTTGTTCCACTCATCTCCACATTCATTGGTTGACGTCTATATGTGCCCTGACCGGAGACGGAACACACAACCTTGGTGCATTTGGATAACACCAACCAACTGAGCCACCTGGCCTGTATCTTACTCATATTTGTTTATTTATTTATTTATTTTAATCCTTATCTGAGGATATTTTCCCATTGATTTCCAGAGAGAGGGAGGAGGATGGGAGGGAGGAGTAGGGGGTAGGAGGAAGAGAGAGAGAGAGAGAGAGAGAAACATCAAGAGAAACCACCCACCACCCACAGATACACTGATTGGTTGCCTCCTGCACCCACCTGGGACTGGGGGACCTGCAACCAAGTTATGTGCCCTTGATGGGGAATTGAACCTGAGACCAATTATTCTGCAGGTTGACCCTCTAATCACTGAGTAACACTGGCAAGAGCTTATCCATGTTTGTTAATTAACCCAAGCAACCCCTCTGTCTCGAAATGACTAGAGAAATGGGGATCTGTGTCACCAGTTCTTGGGAACATTTCTGCAGGAAAAGCCGGATACTTCTCTCTGTGTTACTTAACTTCAGATATCCAAGGAGCCTGGACTGTGCCCTGTATCACATGCACAGAAAGAATGTATTACCCCTTTGGGCCGTGCTGAGTTTTGGCAACAGCAGGTTCAACAGATGATACGTGCGCATCAGGACCAGGCCAGGTTCCTGCAGCAGGTGTTCTCAATTTGGAAGTTCTCATTTGCTTCACAGGCTCCAGTAGGCCTGATTGAGACCTATCTGAATGGTCTATACCTGGTCTATACCTGGCTGAGTGCTGAGCACCAGAAATGCATTTGGTAATAGTCTTGACGTTAGAGAAAGTTAGCATCTGGACCTTGTGTATTGGAGTGTATTAGTTTTCTATGGCTGCTATAACAAATGATCCCAAGTTCAATGGCTTAAAACAACACAATTCTCTTCCAGTGCTGGAGGTAAGAAGTCTAAAACAGGTTTTCAGGCGCTAACTCGAGGAGTTGAGAGGACCAGGAGAGAATCTGTTCCTTGCCTTTTCTAGCTTTTAGAGGCTTCCCACCTTCCTCGCCTCTTGATCTCAACAATCCAACCCCCCACTTCTGTTGTCACATCTCCTTCTCTGACTCTGACCCTCTCTCCTCCACTCATCAGGACCCTTGTGATGACGTTGAGCCAGCCCAGGCAATCTAGATATTTCCCATCTCAGGAGTTTTCATTTAATCCCAGCTGTAAAGTCTCTTTTACCATGGAAGGTATCCTAATCACAGGTTCCAGGGATTAGGATGTGGGCCTCTTTGGGGAGTCAGGATTCTGTTAACCCTGGGAAAAATCAAAGCAGAAGTACCAGTGCTAAGACTCTACACTGTATCAGAGGAACATTGTAAAAGCATAAATGGCAACTCCTCACTTTTCTACTCACAGCCCTCCCATGCCACTTGCTGCTCTCAAGAGAAGACCAAAGTCCTGTGAAAGGCCTGTGAGGTCTTATCTGACACCCCTCTGACCTCACCCTCTCCTATCCTCCCTTCTGCTGTGCCTGTTCGGCTGCTTGGGCCTCCTTGCTGCTCCCCGTACACCTCTCAGCCTTTTCCTGTTTCTGAGCTTGCCCTCCCTTCCTGGACTCATCTGTCCTTGGTTTCTCTTCTCAGATCTCAGCTCAAATGTCATGTTGCAAGAGAGCCCCACCTCTCCACCTCAACCAGAATATCCTCTTTCCCCACCCCCACAGGGACTGGTCACTCCCCAGCTGTTGCATGTAGTGTCTGAAACTATTTGCTTCATTTATTCATTCCTTGCCTGGAGACCACCCACTGAGCCAGCCTTGCCCACTTGCTGGCCCCCTAGCTCTGAGCCCTCTGTTCAGACGCTTTGTAGGTGCCCAGCATGGATGCCCGCCAAAACTGGCCAGAGCAGAACAGGCAGGGCAGCCCTTCCCGTCTGGACAGCCCGGAAAAGGCGGGAAAAAGAGGTGGGGGGGGGGAGGGGGGAAATCAGCAAATAAACAAGTCTCACGGGTGGGTAGAGTGGGGAGTGCTGGCGGGCCTTGACGCTAGGATGTGGGACTGGGGGCAATCAGCCTGTCCATCCGGTTGTTCCCCCCCTCCACCCCCCCTTTCTCCTGCAGCGTTGACATTGATTCCACCTTCCTGCCCTTCTGGTCAATGGGTGCTCAGGTGGGGGGGGGCGGCTCAGCAGGAACCGACTTAGTAGGTCAAGCGGGTCTCTACTCTGGGTGTCCTTAGGGCTCTTTGAAGGGCAGCATGTAGGGGGGACCCTGGGCCCCATCTCCGCTGGGCACACCCAGCAGAGCGTGCAGGCCTGGGCGGGGCCGTGGCCCGCTGGAAGAAGGTGGGGTGGATTGAGGCGGGGGCGCCCCCACCCCTTTTCTTGCTTCGCGCCACTGCGGCGGCCAATCACTTGCAGGCGCCCGCCCCCTGCGTGGCCTCCCACAACTTCTAAACGCCGAGTTTTCGCGGGAAAAAAATCAGAGCCGCTGGCAACGTGGGCAGACTGGGCGCTCCGGCTCGCACGCACGTCCGCGCGGGGTCTGGGCCACACACGCCGCTCTAGCGCCATTTTCAGGGCCCAGCGCGCAGGCAGCAGAGTGGTGGCGCGGCCGGAGAGGTGAGTGGCCAGGCGAACTGGGGCACCAGCCTGTGCCGGCGTGTGTGTTTGCGGGAGGGTGGGGAGGGAGGGGAAAGGAGAGGTGGGAAACCCATTGCTCCGGACGCTGAGACTTTACAACACTTTCTGGAGCGGCCGAGACGCGCGGTCAGCACGGGGCCGGCGTGCCCGCTGTCCTGTACGCGGACTCGGCCCGCCCCGGGCCGTCGCCTTCGGAATGCCGGACTTGTGCACGGGCGGGCGGAGCGTCCCCGGGGCGCCGCGGGGGTCTCGCCAGCTGGGCGGGGGAGGGCCGGGCAGGCCGCGGGGGACCATGTCAGGCTCCGCGCCTGCGCGCGGGGCGCCCCGCGATTCAATTGTCGCGCCGGAGCCCGGTTTCGCGCGCCCTGCGTTCCCCGGGCACGTCCGGGCCAATGGGGAGCGGGCGGGGCGGGGCGGCCCGGAGCGGCGGAGCCAATGAGCGGGGCGGATCGAGCGAGGGGGCCCCTCCGGCGGCCCGGCGGTGGGGGTGGGCGTGGGCTCGCTGGCGTGGCCCGCTCAGGCGGGAGGGCGGATAAGAGGGGCTCCGAGGACGGGAGTCAGAGTCCGGGGAGCGAGGGCCGGCGCGCGTGGACGTTGTGGGGCTGAGGTGAGGCCCCCGGCGTGCGCGGGGGTGGCCGGGACGGGGCGGTTGGTTGCCATGGCCACCGCGGGGGGCCGGCCCCGTCGCGCACGCGCGCGGGGGGTGGGCGGCGGGGGTCGCGGACACCGAGGGGTCAGAGCCCCGCGTGTCTCCGGGGTCGGGGTCGGATGTGGGGGTTCTTCCCCTTTGCACTTAGTTGAGTTCCCTGGGACTTCTGAAGTTTCGACCCGCGCCGGACTTTTGGGTTTCCCTCTTTTGGCGTCAGTATTAATTCGGTGAATGAATGAATGAATGAATGAACGAACGAACAGACTCGACCCCTCACCCTTGAGCTGTGTCCTCCTCCGGACGTTGGTGTCTTTTTTTCCTCCGAGGGGGTGTGTGGGTTGGACTGAGTGGTTCAAGGTGCCGTTTGCCTTCCCTAATTTCCCTTTCCTCCTAAACGCTGCACCGGTGTTAGTCATTTACTCAATTAACTCCTTTAATTTTCTCTGCCAAGCCCGGGGCTAACGCTGGCCTTCTGTGGGGACTAGGGGTCAGAGGGGGCGTGAAGGGAGTTTTTGGGTGTCCACAGGCTGGACAAAGCAAGGATGACCCAAGCAGGGCACGGGCCGGGGGGGTGGTGGCAGCGGCAGGCAGCACTGACCGAAGGATCCACTCTCTGCCCTCTCAGCACCAACAGGCACCATGTGGATCCAGGTTCGCACCATGGATGGGAGGGAGGCCCACAGCGTGGGCTCGCTCTCCAGGCTGACCAGGGTGGAAGATCTGAGGGAGAAGATCCAGGAGCTGTTCCACGTGGAGCCAAGCCGACAGAGGCTTTTCTACAGGGGCAAGCAGGTAAACCCGCCCAGCAGGCTGCCCGCCGCCCGGCACCTTTGTTCTTGTCTCTCGTCCAGGCTTCGCTCCTCCGCCACCGGCACACTCCGTCTCCCCCCCTCATCCGGTCCGCTTCGTGTCTCCACAGAAAACTCAAAATGCCTGAGCCAGGAACAAAGGCTCGACTCACATGCTGACACACTGGGCAGCAGCTGGCACTCAAATCCTGTAGCGTTGGGGCTCTTACACTCCCCTTTTATTTTGTTTGTTTTTGAAGCCCCTCAAAATAATTCCGAGGAAAAGAGGTTGGAGGTGGCCGACTGAGAGCTGGTGAATTTCAAGGAAGAGCCTAGACCCATGACTCAAGTAGGAGGGCAGAAGGGACCGCTTTGTTCTTTGAAACACACACTGAGGCCCACGGCCTGCTCCTATTTGGAGTTTGTCCCCAGAGGGTGTGTTTTCTAGAAATTTGGATCAGCGCATTCGGAGGCGGGAGATGGTGTTTGCCAATCTGGAATTTCTGCCACCCTGGGCCTGCCCTTGCGGGGGCTGCCCGTGAACAGGGCCTGGTGCGGCGGTCTGCGGTCTTGCTCCTCTCCCTTCTCTGTGCTCTGTCCTCAGACCCTTGGAGCAGTTAAAATGGCCACCCTTGCTCTAGCGGTTGCTCGCAGTTGGGACGCTTTCTCCAGTGGCACTGCGGGAGGTTTCCAGTTTTGGAGTTGTCCTTGAGGGGATGGCGGGAGGTACTGCTGGGATTGAAATTTCCCTGAGTGGGAGACGGTGTAAGGGAGTATTGGCCCTGTCTGCTGGTGGACCGTAGGGACAGCGGGGTAGCGATTGTACTGGATTAAAAGTCTTCAATTGGGCTGCGTGCCCGACTTTGTTGTTGTCGCGTTTTGAACTGGTTCCTGCCGCCATCTGGTGTCTAGATTGAAAAATAAACACTCCGCGCCCGCGCCTGGGCATGATTTTGGGGGGTTGGGAGGATCCTGTGTGCTTACTTGAAGTGAGACCTGATGATTAATTTCTTGGGCTTGCAGCGCCCTGGGAGACCTTTAGCCTCCTTCCTGTGAGAGATAGGATGACTTGAATGTCTTAAGAACCTGAGTTAACCCGCCCTGCCTGGGGAGGGAAAGCTGATCCTGCAAACTTTGCGACTTAACTGTGCAGCGACTTTCGTGTTGAGGAGTGGAGCTCCGCGGGCTGCTAACTCCTGCCTCTTAGGGCGCCTCCTTCTGTGGCATCTACACTGGCTATGATTTGCCACGCAGTGTGTTTGTTCAGCAGAGGTCCTTTCTGAAAACCTCTTGCATGTGCCCACTAAGCAAGCAGCTCATGGTGTAGTTCAAAGGCAGGTTGAACGGAGTCCTCACTAAGTTCAAAGAAGCACTATGTTTATTTGCCTGTTGTGTGCCAAGAACTTTCTTTTTTTAACATCAGTAGGTGTATATTCTATTAAACACTGTTCATTTCAATTTTTACATTGCAAACATGCAGAACAATTGAAAAACCCATGAACACCTACCCCTAGGTTTTACCACTAATATTTTGTGTAGTCACTTTTGTCACTCAGCTCTGTCTTGCTCTATTAATCCACCAATATGTCTTATTTTTTGGGATGCATTTCAAAGTAAGTTTGCAGACACTAGTTCATATCACCCCTAAACACTCAGCATGCCTGTCATTAACAGGAGTTCACAATTGGGGTTATCATTGTCTTTATAGGTAAAATTTGTATATATCAAGGCATGTCTTTTAAATATATATATATATATATATATATTTAATTGATTTTTTTACAGAGTAAGAGAGAGGGATAGAGAGTTAGAAACATCGATGAGAGAGAATCGATCAGCTGCCTCTTGCACACCCCCTACTGGGGATGTGCCCGCAACCAAGGTACATGCCCCTGACCGGAATTGAACCTGGAAGTCCGCAGGCTGAGTCAAACCGGTTTCGGCAAGGTATGTTTTAAGCAGACCATTTGGAGTTCTGACAAATGTCTATACCCATAAACCCCCATCTCCCTTTACTTATATAATGTTTGATCCATTCAAAAGTATTGCTAACATCTGTGTAAGTATAAAGCATGATGACAGCAACACCAAGGTGTGTTAGACGCATACGTAGTGCCTTTAATCTTATGGCTGCTGGCGATGAGACACAGGGCCCTTAACACTGCTTTCTCACAGTGCAGCCTTTAGAGTTATCAAAGCGTGGCCCATTCTCCTTCCTGCTGCGGCTACTCAGCAGCTTTGTGTAGTTGTTTCTGTCTTCCGGGTAAGGAAGCCAGGCCTCAGGACCTGATGCAATTTCCCCAAGGTTGCCTGGCCAGGAATTGGCCTGGTGGCTAGGAGGTGTGGACATTGACAGGAGGGTGGGTGACAAAAGCACACAAGCAGCGGCTCAAAGCAAGTCAAGTCTGCAAAAAGCCTGGACTAACAGTGATAGGAAGCGGTGCAATTTCCAGTGGGTGCAAGAGAGCTGTTGTTTTCCAGAATGTTCTAGAGAGTCTACACAATCTCCCGCCCCGCCCTTAAAAGAAATATGGCCTAACAGTCCAAGTTCTGCAGCGAGGTTGACTAAGACCATAAAGCAGAACATAGCCGAGTCTTTCTTCAGGATATGGGAGGGTTTTGTGGCAGCTTTTTTAGGCTGAATAGGTTGGCGGTTATGTCGCTTGATTGACGGAAATACAGGGAGCATGGGGGGGAGGGACCTCGGCGGCAGGCCCAGCCTGGGCACGGAGAGAGGCATCTGGGGCCTGTTTTTTTGCTGCCCATAAAATTAATAATAGCTGTTATTTGTGGCATGGCCCTGAACAAGCTCAGGTACAAGGCTTTGTCTTGTGCTTTACATAATCTCAAGTTCCCTGACCCTGCGGCTTGGCCATTGACTGTTCAGACAGAGCTAATTGTGGACCCACGACATTGTGGCATGGTAAGAATTCAGCGAGGTAATAGACGTGAAGGAATGAGCCCATGTCTGGCTCACAATAATGGTGCAGTAAATCAGCTCAGGGTCTGTCCCCCTGGGTACCCCTGACATGGGGGTGGGTCATTCTCTGTGGGGGGCTTGGTCTTTCTCTGTGGGAGGCTGTGGGGGGCCTGGCCCCACCCACTCAATGCTAGGAGCACCCCAAGTTGTGATAACCACAAATGTCCCCAGCATCACCAAGTGTCCTCTTGGGGACAAAATCACCCCTAATAGTTTTGTAGATAATTTAGGAAAACAGCAATATTGGCCTTGCTGGGCTCAACGGCTCTGTTAAGGTCAGTCTGGAAGATCAGTTGAGCTCTCATCGGTTTGGCTCAGTGGACAGAGCGTCGGCCTGCGGACTGAAAGGTCCCAGGTTCGAGTCTGGTCAAGGGCATGTACCTGGGTTGTGGGCACAACCCCAGAAGGAGGTGTGCAAGAGGCAGCTGATTGATGATTCTCTCTCATTGATTATTCTAACTTCTCTATCCCTCTCCCTTCCTCTCTGTAAAAAATCAATAAAATATATTAAAAAAGAAAAGAAAAAAAGAAAGAAAAGAAAGATCAGTTGAAATGATATCCTGGGAATGGCCTTGCAAGGGTCACTCGTGTCACAGTAACCCACCAAGTGTCTCTGTGTAGTGGCCTTTCCAGAACGCTGCCTGTCTTTCCGAAGGGCAGGGTCAGGCAGCAAATAGGACAGTTCCTCGCAGAGACTTGTTCTTCGGGCTGCTGGAGGGAAGGACCCTTTTCCCGTGTAGAGGTCCCAGCTAGAGGGCACGCCCTCTAAGCCAGGGATCAGTAGGTTCTGTCTGTAAAGAGCATGATAGTAAATATTTGTCTCTCTGGGGACTGTTCACCTCCACCACGAGCAGGAAAGCAGCCATAGACAGTATGTAAACGAATGGACATGTTTCGGTAGGAGTCACAATACATTTGTTTACAAAACCAAGTGCGGGACAGATTGGCAGTGGTGTGCCAGTCACCTTGTGCTGTGATCCAGGCTCCGGGGTGGTGAAGCCAGATTTTATTCTCAGGAACAGCGTTGCAGTGGAATGTGTCAGGGCACTTGGTTGCAGGAGTTTTTCCAGGGAAGGGGTGCTCAGACTGTTTCTCAGGCCCCCTTTCCACCCTCCAAAGTGGTTAAGGACCCCAAAGAGGTTCGGATGGGATTATGTCCACCGTTTTTTGTGTGTTAGAAATTGGAAATTAGACATTAGAATTCACGCGTGCACATTCCCGTGGTCATCAGAATGGTGGCATTTTGAAGGCTCCTCTACCCCTGTGAGACTATAGGAGTGAAAATGGCCAGTGTCAGCGTGGCGACATCACAAGAGTTTTGGCTTATAGACCACTGAAATGTTGCTCCAGGGCTTATGGTCAGCTGTGGCCCTGCAGGTCAAAGGACAGAGTTCAGTTGTGCCTGATTTGCCTTCTCCATGTCCGAGAGGGGCTAGGATGTGAGAGAAGGGTCATGCTTGAGGCGCTCACTCTGCTTGCTCCTTCCCGAGTGGGCAGTTGTGCCACCTCTGCCACATCTGGGGCCCTGCTCCCTGTGCTTGCTTCTTCCGCCTCTCCATCCCTCTGTCTGGCCTGCACCCCAGGTTGCTCTGCTGAGGCCTGGAGGCTGGGAAGATGGGGGTGGAGTAAGCTGCATCCCCTGGAAGAGGCACAGAGCAGTTTCTCACTTCCTGTCTCCAAGTTCCCTTTTCTCCTCCAGTTCTGGGTCCCTCTTGGTACCAGGCTCACACCACCCTCATTAAGGCCCCACAGTCTGGTTTATGTCCTCTCCACTTCTCACTCAAATTACCACCATGTGCCAAACGTGGTGACATTTCCTGCTTTCTTGTGTTTTGGGGCAGCATAGGGCACCCTGAAAAGTATCCCCTAAAATGTCAGGAAGGGCAGAAAGCATGGCTCTTTATTTTTCTGTATTTTATTGATTTTAGAGAGTGAAGGGAGAGGGATAGAAACATGGATGAGAGAAACATTGATCAGCTGCTTCTTGTGCTCTCCTACTGGGGATTGAGCCTAAAACCCTGGCA